ACAACCACAATAAGCAGTTAAGGGATAAACATGAAGATGTAAATATGACACCAAACGTGGGGGAGGGGAATTTTAAAAAGTATATCTTTTAGAATGTGTTTGAACTTAAATGACTATCAGTTTGAAACAAGCAGATATAGTTACAGGTCAACATATATGAACCCTACAGTAACTACAAATCAAAAACCTACAATAGATACCCAAGAACTAGAGAGAAGGAAACACAAGCATACAGCTAAAGAAAATCATCACACTACAAGGGTAAAAACTAAAAGAAGAAAAGAACAGAGAAGAACTACAAAAACAACCAGAAAATAAGTAACAAAATGGCAATAGCTACATACGTATCAATAATCACTTTAAATGCCAATGGACTAAACACTCTGATCAAAAGACATAGGGTGGCTAACTGGATGAAAAATCAAGACCCATTTATATGCTGCTCACAAGAGACTCATTTCAGACGTAAAGACACACACACACAAACACTCTCAAAGTGAGGGGATGGAAAGAGAAATCTCACGCAAATGGAAGCAACAAGAAAGCTGGGGTAGCAATACTCATATCAGACAAAGTAGACTTTAAAACAAAATCTGTAACAAAAGACAAAGAAGGGCATTATATAATGATAGGGGATCAATACAAGAAGAGCATACAACATTCATTAAAATATATGCACCTAATATAGGAGCACCTAAATATATAAAGCAAGTATTAACAGACATAAAGGGAGAAACTGACAATAATACAATAGTAGTAGGGGACTTTAACACCCCACTTACATCAATGGACAGATCGTCCGGATAGAAAATCAATAAGGAAACAGTGGTCTTATATGACACATTAGACCAGCTGGACTTAATAGATATCGACAGGATATTCTATCCCAAAACAGCAGAGTACACATTCTTTTCAACTGTTCTCCAGGACAGATCATATGCTAGGCCACAGAACAAGTCCCCCCAAATTTAACAGAATAGAAATTATATCAAAACAAAAACACTAATTCGAAAAGATACATGTACCCCAATGTTCACAGCATTATTTAGAATAGCCAAGATATGGAAGCAACCGAAGTGTCCATGAAGAGACAAACGGATAAAGAAGATGTGGCATATATATAAATACACATACATATACCCAGTGGAATATTACTCAGCTATAAAAAAAGAATGAAAATCTGCCATTTGTAACAACATGCATGGACCTGGAGGGTATTACGTTTAGTGAAGTAAGTCAACAGAGAAAGACAAATACTGTATGCTATCACTTATACGTGGAATCTAAAATAATAAAACTGAATGAATTTTAAAAAAAAAACAGAAACAGATTTACATATATAGAGAACAAACTACTGGTTACCAGTAAGGAGAGGGAAGGGAGGAGGGGCAAAATAGGGTCAGGGGATTAAGAGGTTCAAAATACGACACGTAAAATAAATTAGCTACAAGGATATATTGTACAGCACAGGGAATACAGTCAATATTTTATAATAACTTTATATGGAGTATAATTTATAAAAATATTGAAATGCTATGTTGTACACCTGAAACTAATATAATATTGTAAATCAACTATACTTCAGCATTTTTTTAAAAAGATGCAAGTTCTGCAGTATGCAACTTGAGTTTTTACTAATTATGTTCTAGGACGATAAACCATTCTTTGAAGAAAAAATTCTACTCATACGTATTTTTTCAGTTATCTTCCCTTTCCATCCTCATTTTATCTGCAGTGTCACTACCCTTTTCCAGGCAACCATCATTTCTTACCTGGGCTTCTGCAATGGTCTCCTAATAGTTGTTCCTCCTACTCACAGTCTCAAAGCTCCCAGCATTCTTCTACCCTACTTTCCAAAAACCTTTACTCACAGATTCAAAGTCCTTTAACTCCTTCTTCCTTATTTATCCTCATCTCTCACACTTTCCTCTTTCACCAAAGCCACTGCCCCCAACACACCCCTACGTCTATAATGATTAACATTGTACTTTCCAGGTCCTAGAACAATGGATGCACTCTTCTGCATCACGTCTTTTCACACACTGTTCCTTTACTGAGACTGTCCATCTCCTCCTGCCTTCACCTGATTTTTACTTATCCTTCAGACAACAATTAAGGTACCCTTTTCCTGGGGATCTTTCCATGACACCCTAAGCTGGGTTATGTGCTCTTTATCTCTTTAGCACTTAACAATCTGAAGTTATTTTGCTCTCTGTTACCTCTCTCTAAATTGTAACTCCCATGAGAGTTGGGGCTGCTTTACATCTTGTTCACCACTCTATTCCTGTTACTGTTAAATTCAGAAATCCTTATTTTGTTAATAGAAACGGGTAAAAATTAGAACAGAGGAGTCAATCGCAGTGAAAGAATTGTAATTCCACTATACTGACTGCACTGACAATGGGCTCAATCAAAAATATTCATTGCCCACCATGTCTTTTTTTTATTGTGTGAGCATTATAGGACTTGGACTCAGAAGACCTTAGGCAATTTCCTTTCACCTTCTCTGAATTTTTTTTTCCTTTTCTGAAACTTTTTCTTCATTTCTTTAATGGCTTAAGCAATACCTATATGAAAGTGATATAGGAGAACTGATGAGAGGAGATTAAAGTGAAAGACTTTTGTAAAACAAACAATGGTACATATACATACATATCATTATATACATATATGTATCACTGACTAATCCATGTTGCCCAAAGTCTAATGGCTTATTTTTAATCCATCACTGCGTTTTACTATTAATTTCCAATATTTTAATAAGGCACAGGATAAACACAAATTTACCTTTCCTGTTCTGAAGTCTAAAACCCTTGTTTTAAAACCTTTGTCATCCAATATCAATTTTATGAGCAGATCCTTAAGTATTATACTTGCTATGTATTAAATTAAAATTCTTGATCCCTTTACTAAAGTAAGAAATGACTGGTTTTGGCTAAGGGCCACACTAACATTGTAAGAGTTCGTTATTTCATTTGAAACAAAGAAAAAACAACAAAAATTTTAAAGGAGAGTACTGTTTCTCAATGAAACATTATATTCAGGATTTCTACCACAATTAAAAGGCTTCACTTTTCAGAAAGATTCTTTTCTCTTAAAAAAAAAAAGAGAGGAAACAAAGTCATAAATTCCCGAGGTGAAAACATATAATAAACATTGTCTTATTCCCCAGTGTCCAAAATGGTGAAATAAATGTACATATATGATAAACATAAATATAAATGGAAATGGTACATTCTCAATGAATGTTTATTATGATTGTTGCAGTTCAGTTATTCAGCATATTATACTCTCTGTTAAATAATGTATGTTGAACTGAAATAGTGAGACCAAGGACAACTAGCTCTTTTAAGCCAAATTCAAGAAGCTGTTAATACCAGCACATAAGTTCTACAACTGTTTAAAATACTGAAATGAGAAGATGAAAATAAATGAAAAAGTCAAACCCCAAAATCTCTCATATGCTTTCAATACTATATTTTAAAAGTATCAGTTATAGATAATATCAACCAAATACTTTTTCCAGCAAGGAGCTATTGTGTGGGCAGAATACTGACTTTTGCAAACACCCGTTAGTCATTTAAGGGGGTCAGGATCTATTAGTTATTTGTACATATCTTAGATGCTAGGCATCATAAACCATGTATAGTCATCATAAACCATGTATAGTCACGGTAGACTTATAAAAAGCTAGTCACATTCTTGCAAAGTATGTTTTATGATAAACACACCACAAACAGAAACTCTCACTCGTACTGAGGGGCAAAATCCAGCTGGGTTTCTTTATCCCTAACCCCAGCTTCAGCTGCAGGTTTTTTTCCAGTAAGAACAGTAGTTTGATTTACTCAACACGGTAGAAGTCAGGGTGTGGTCACCCTTCTCCAAATAATATTACAAATGGATTTTCCCTGAACTCTTGCAGCAACAGAATCTTTAAGTGGTTACTGGTAGGAAAAGGTGAGATTGAGGTCAAAATGTCTGAAAAATAAAAATTAACAAAAGCTTTCAAGGACCACCCTAGAGACAATGGAAGCTGGGGTATTACTGAGACGACGGAGGTAATACAGCTCAGAGCACGAATATTTTTTAAGCTTTCAACATGGAGCCCCAGTAACAGCTGAACATAAGGTTTTGCCAGCTCTCCTGCTGAGTACTGACAATTTTATCCCAAATTAATCCAGGATACTAATAACCACGCCAAATACAGATCAATCACATTTCCTTCATCACCATCGTCATAAGAGGGCTAAATGGGGACGTTCCTGGTGGTCCAGCGGTTAAGAATCCCTCTTCCAAAGCAGGGGACATAGGTTCAATCCCTGGTCAGGGAACTAAGATCCCACATGCCGAGTGGCAATAAAGCAGGGCAACAGAGCCCGCACACGCCAACTAGAGAGCCTGCGCGCCACAACTAGGGAGAAGCTAGCGCACCCCAACGAAGAGCCTGCGCACTGCAACGAAAGCCAAAAATTATTTTAAAAAAATAAAAAGAACAAAACTAAATGTAACATCAAATTCAGAACCACCAATGAAACGTTTCCTTTAGCGTTTCTAAAACACTACGAACTAGAGAGATGGGGAAAATTAGACCAAGGAAGCCTTTTCTAAGTCAGGGATAAATGGGAGTGTACTTAATAAAATATTAAGTGTATCCCTTCTCCCTGGCTAGCTGACAGAGTAGAAACGGACCGCTATCCGCAGGTATGCACCCTGGCTCGCATGGTCTGTGGTTGCATCCCCCAGACGGCCTGGCTACTCTAAAATAAACTCTATGTCGACGCCATTTGCTCTGCCTGACACCTGGAACTAGCATTATGTGCCCACCATGTGCCAGGGACAACGCTCCACACTCCGTTCTCGTTACCTTCGAAGCACATTCTGTGCGCTGACAAAGGAAACTGAGGCCCAAGCTCACACAGGGGCCCCGGCACTAAACCACCGTGTAACTCATCTTGTTGAAATGAGGGCAAGGGCGTGACTCAGATGCTCTAAATACTCACTAGGCCGGTAGTATTTGTGACGTTAACTCTTTTCTTCGGGGCCACTCGCAAGCCGCAAGCCCTCTAGAAGGGTGGGGAAACTGAGGCCAGGCTGTGACACGCCAGACGTCACAGAGCCGGTGGCGGGCAGACAGAGGCCTCGAAGGCTGATCTCTGCGAATCCCAACGTCCGTTTGTTAACACTGCCCAGATCTTCTGCTTGGCTTACTCGGCCCTGAAATCTCGCAGGTTTTCAGGGGAAGGGACCTGGGCCGAGGCGCTCCCTCCCGGATCGTTTTCCCGTCAGCAGCCTCCGTCGACACGGGAAAGCGGTAGCCCGCCCGCCGGCCCCACCCGCCACCAGCTGCAGGGCACCGCGCCAGACACAGGTTGCCTGTTCCCAGGCACTACCTCCTCCGCCTTCACCCCTTTGCCGCCTCCGACCTCGCCCTAGCCCTGCTGTGCGCCTGCGCGCCCGGGCCCTAGAGCCCGTGGGCCGGCTGCTCACGTGGGCCTGCACCTGGCCCCGCCGCCTACAATGGAAAGGCGGGGCCTCGCGCTCACCACGCCCCCTCGCTGCCACGCCCCCTCGCTGCCCAGCCCCCTCGAGGGAGCGTTGCAGCCTTGGCCGATTCATTACCCCTCTCGCCCAGCCGGCCGCGCCTACTTGGCCGCGTGCTGTGTGCGCGTGCGCCAGGTCGGGATTTGGAGGGGGTCGGAAGACTGTTGCGCGGCCAAGGCCGCGAGCTCTACTGGAAGGCGGGGGACGGGGGCGTCCGGGCAGGCCTGGATGGGGGAGGGGGCGTTAACTCGGAAAAGGAAGGAAGTAGGTGTCACGGGCTGCACACTCTGGCTTTTTGGGGTTGTCAGAGGAAGGTCAGAAAGGACTGCTCCAGATTTCCCCATTTCGTGTCTAAATGCAAATCTCTGGAACCCTCACTAACTCCTTCATGTCATGAACCTCAACAGTTCCTTCAGAGCAGCACACCCTTTAGTAATGATCATCTCTGGAGCATTCTGTGGGCAGAGTCTCTTCCAGTAGGAGTAGCAGGCTCAGAGTGATGCTCTCTTCCGAGGGCACCCACCCGGCCATCGGCCTGCCTTAGAGGCCAGTCCAGGTCAGGCATACAACTCTAGTGACACTTAGACTTCTTCCATTAACGTAACCCAATGACAGGTGTTCTTGTGCAGCCTTCTTGTGTACGGTCATACGAAGAAAAATACAAGGCTAGATGTAGACTGCGATGTTAGATTCAAGACCTGAAATATGTGCCTTATGTCAGTTGTGTATTCTCTTATGGCATGAGTCCCTCGATTAAGACATCTGTCCCTTGAGAACTAGCTTTTTGTTGTTTTTAACACGACTTAGAAGCTGTCATGGCCTAAGTTGGGGCATTCCTGATACAGGACTTAGGTGAACATCTGTCCCCCGTTTGTCATATTTGTCCCGTGGACAGTTTTTTTAGGTTGATAACCTGGGTGCAAATATAATGGGGAAATAGCTTCAGATCTGCTCCTCTACCCCCAAATTTCATTTCCTGGTTACTAGAGAATAGGAGAGGGATTAAGGAACACTGAGAATTGAACCAATGACAAAAAGCATTACTGCTTTGAGGTCTTAAAATTCTGGTTCATCTTTGCCACCTCTCCCCCAAAGATTTTAGAAAAGTGACTGTTCATGGATTGATTTTGATCACATGTTTCTTCATAACATTTGAAAGAGTATCCTTCCTGCATTTGGGTTTGTAGGGGCCTAAACTGAAATTTTGACAGAATGGAAGCAATGGAAGCACTGGAAATAGGTTGTGAGGGGAGACAGTGTGGGATATTAAGGAAGCAAGGATAAGAAGATCCTAGTTGGTGGAGATAACAGAGAGAGCTTAGAGAAAGAATGAAGACCAAAAACATGGAGTGGGTGGCAGATCTAGCAGATTATTCTGATAGTAATGATAAGCTGCATTCTTGAGCATGAGGATTTGTATATTGCTTATGGTGACCAAAAAACATGACTATTTTCTCATTTGAGGAGTCCTAAGAGTTCTGGCAATAAAGTAGAAAGATGTAGGGAGGGGTGAGAGTTTAGTGCCAGAATGATCATCTGGGATCCAGCAGATCTCAGTGCACATTGTTTTAGTGTCCCCACCCTACCCCCAACTTGAAAAATCACGGACTAGGGTAAAGGAGTAACGGGGTAGGATAAACAGGGCTCTGCGTGTATCTGGATGCTGTTGTGGAAATTCCTGGAGCAGGTATAGCCAGTAAGGGCTCACCTGCTATGTCTAACTGAGGCCTTCAAATTGGAAGGCACCTGATAACTTACTAAATGATGAGCTCCTTAAGGTAAAGACCCTGTGTACCCACTGTAGATCTTTTCCATCCTGAACCTCCCAAATAATGATCAAAGATCTAGTCTGGGGGGTCCTTGTGGCAACCTGTAGTTCTCCTGAAATCAAGGGTTTGAGACTGCTTGCTGAAGGAATTGTATATTTCACAAGTATAAAGCCCATAGTTGAAGATTTTTTAAAACACAAAAAAACCTGTTTCAGTTCACTTTGGGGGTGAGGGGGTAGGTCTCATCTTGCAGCAGGTGCAGACTGTTCGACACAATATTCAGAGAGGTATTCAAATGGCTACACTATTTTGTCAACTCCTAGTTCCAGGGTCCCTACTCCAGCTCCCTTCAGAGCCCTAATGCTTCCTGCTCCTTGTAAAAGATAAAAACTCAGTTGTAAAACTGAACAGCATTTTGACTTCCCACCCCGTGAGGCTGAAAAGGAGGAAGAGGTGGAAGGGGAAGGTAGGTTGTACCAGGAGCAAAGTCCTGAAGATAGAAGAATAAGCCTCAAAAGCTGAGATCCTACGGTGATTGATTAGTTAGCCCGTCCAGAGCTAAAGGTTAAACACAGGCTAACAACAGCCCAGAGGAGAACAACTGGATAATTCATTAATTGTGTTCCTGTTTATATACCCTCCCCCCCACCTCACTTTCTAGGCTAATGTAGGTTCTGTCTTGATTAGAGGCAAACTTTTGGAACTAGACAGGATCTTGGAGCTCATGACTCATTCTCCACACCTGGCATGTGAACAAACAGGTTAAGCATTAACAGGTGACTTGGCCAAAACCACACAGCTAGTTAGTGGCAGAGCTAGGATTAGAACCCCTCTCTCCGTCTTCAGAGCCAATTACTCGTCCCGTTTGTCTCCTAAATGGCCAACAATTTCTTCCCACCCTGTATGTGCACGACACGCCATCCTTCTACAGGTAGAGTCTCTTTTTCCTCCCCTTGACTTGGTTTGTGACTTCATTTAACCAGTAGGATGCAATGGAAGTGACATTCTCGGACTTTCACGCTCAAGCCCTAAGAGGTCTGGCAGTTCCTGCTTTCCGCTCTGGGAAATCAGCCTCCATGCATTAAAGAAGCTTGGGTTACGTGGCTGAGTGATGAGACACAGCACATGAGTGGTGAGGCAACGTGCAAGAGAGGCCTTCTTGGACCTTCCAACCCAGCCCAGCCACAAGGTGAAGGCAGCTGAGTGAGTGACTCCCACCAAATCACATGGAGCAGAAGATCTACCCAGCTGAGTACTCTCCCCATTCCTAACCCAGAGAATCACGAGAAGCAGACACTAAAAGACCACGACATCCTCTGCCTTCCTCTGTTCACTCGATTATCATAATTAAGAAATCAAGACATTAGACTATGGTTAGGCTTCAGAAGAATATCAAGGAAGCTCGTCCACCAAACGCTTCCATGTTTGTCAACAGCTCTCATCAAGACAAGGTGGTTTTCTGCTTCAAACTTGACACTAACACTGTAAATGACAGTTTATTGACTTGCTGGTCAAACAACCTTGCTATGGGTATATTAACTTTTACTTAGCATTTAACTCTAACAAAATTCTCTCCAAATCCTCATGTTCTCTAATGATGCATCAGACCACCAGAAAACTTAGCAGCATAACACTACTTTGCTCAGTACTTTGCAATTTGGGCAGGGCTCAGCGGGTACAGCTGGCCTCTGCTCCACTCAGCATCAGCTAGGGATGGTTTGAAGGCGGGTTCTCCTGTGTCTGGAGGTTGGTGGTGGGAAGAAGGCTCGAACAGCTGGAGGCTAGAACTGTCGCTAAGGAGCCTCCCATGTGGTCTCTCCAGCGAGGTGGCTTCAGGCTAGCTGGTACTCTCACGGGTGCGTCTTAGGGATCCTAAGACAAAGTTCTAAGAAAGGAATCCCAGCAGGAGCTTTGTCACTTTGCATGACTTAGCTTTGGAAGTCAGGTGACATCCCTTCTGCCCTGTCATTGGCCCACCCATATTCCAGGAAATGGGACATAGGCCCCACCTGTTGATGGAGGGATGCCATCGTCACACTGTTAGAAGGGCATGAGGGAAGGACATGTTTGGAAAACACAACCCCGCCTCAGCTTCTAAACTCTGCATCTGAATTTCACCCTAGGGATAACATCTTGCTAGAAAAACTAATTCCAGGAGCTTTGGCTTAAAAAAAAAAAAAGAGTTATTTCAATTTGCAACCCCTATGAGAGTTAATTCATTTTTCCTATAGATGTCTTAGTTTGGAGGCTACAGTTTAATCTCCTTCCCCAGGTTTTTCAGAACTGGGGAGAGGAGGATATGAATAATCTACTATTACGGCTGTTTTGTAAACCCCTCACCTCTTAAAAAAATTCGATTCACTGCTTACAGTTGAAACAAGTAGGGTATCCATGGCAAGGTTGCTCTTGTGACCACATATTTTAAAGAAAATTAGTTCTGTCTGTTCTGTAACAAGTTGTGGATGACTACTAATAACTTATGTTTCTACATCCACGTGCCTGCAGGCACGTTCAGTGTGGATTCGTTCAGGAATCTTTTATTCCTAATGGATTTCTAGCTTCTCAGCTCAGCTAACCTGGTATCATTTTTTTTTTTAACACCTGGCAATGTCACACCAAAGGTATGTGGTGCCTTTTTAACTGTTGCTTAGCAACACTCAAATGGTCATGAGTGTTGGTTTGCAAACCAACAAACCTTGGTTTGTTAACCAAGGCAGCTGAATTTCTTTGCGTGAACAGCAAAACTAACATTTCTATTATTGCAAAAACATGCCCTGGGACATGTCCCAATCAGAGAAAAGCTGTTATATTTTTCTATGGCATTTTGTAGTTCTTTTGAAATTGTCAGAAGTAAAAATAAATATCCAGGAGAAATTATCCATATATTCTTGGCAGATTATTATGCCTATATTAAATACTTTTCTATCTGTGGTCCAACCGTTAAACCTAGTTTTTCCAGCTTATTTTCCTAAACTATGTTTTCATCATAATTCAAAGCTATGATTTTATGAAGCTTTTAACATTAGCTTTCCATACATTCTCTGTAGATTCCACTTTGAAGTTTACCAGATAGTCTTCTCAACAAGGTGATTTCAGAGATTTTGCTGGTCAACTGACTCCTAACATTTCACTCCTATAAA